TAATTCATAATTGTTTCTGGCTCAACCCAGACTCAAGATACCAGGATTGCACAGACTCCATCAGCTCCCACCTTGCAAAAGATCTGAACCGTATAATAAATCTCATATTCTTTATAATTATTCTTCTCTAATTTAACCCTGATATGTCTTAATCTTCATTCTGAAGAATGCAGTAATCAAATACCCTCAAAAATCATATATATAGGATGAATGTGAGTTTAACTATTATGAGACAACATGTTTATCCTCATTTTTATCCCCCAGCCTAGAAACAAAAGTATAATTATTTATTTTGTTCAGCACATCTCTTGTTAAAACCACATGGCATTCTGGGAACTTTCAGCCAAGATAAGGCAGCAAACAGGGACTCGTTTTGGGTGAAAGCAGGACACATTTACTAAGAAGGAAGGATTTCCCCATCCAGGAAAATATCATCAGTCCAAATCACCAAACATGAATCTTATCTGGAATAAGCATCTGTTTGGCACCTAGGAGTGCCTGGTCTAGCATTGGGCAACAAAACTGCTGGTCTTCTGGCAACATCAGCAGAAGCTTTAATTATAGATTAAGGAGGCCCATCTGGTCTAGACATGGAGAAGAATCAAACCCTTTTGTGCCTATTGGTTGCAAGACCTAAATAATGGCCATATTTTATTTATCTTTGCATCCTGGACCCTAGTCCTATGCTTAAAATGTAGTAGAAGTATTCTTGAATGAAAACAAGGCAGGCTAGGGACAGGCAGGAAGTAATAATGCCAAAGATTCCTGGCATAAAAACCTCTTATTGAGTGGACTGACTTAAAATGTATTTCTTAATGATGATGTAATTCTCTCTTTATATGTGTGTATGTGGACACACACATATACACTTTATAAATATATTTATATATAAAACGATATATAACTTTTATATATCATATGAAACATAAATATATATGAAACTAAGAAATATCAGTAAGATATCTTGTAGCTCTAGGTATCTATGATATCGATTATGTAATATTACACACACACTGTCTCTCTCCCTCTCTCTCTCTCACACACACACACACACGTATGTATATAAGACAGAAAGTAACCCTAAATTATGGATGTTTGGAGCTGGAAAAGGCCTTCCTGATATTTATTAATTTAATCCTTGTGTAGGAATGTGAGGGAAATTAGATGCTAGAATAAGCCCTTTTTTTCTTTTCTTAACTTCAACATCAAGAGTCAACTTTGGGCTGCTTTACCTTCACCTTTGCAGGCTGAGCCCTGGTTAGTCTTCTAAGCCCATACTAGAAGGAGAGTACAACATGAGCAGTGCCTGAAAGTAGCCTCACTCTCATCAAATGATGTCTTGTATTTCTAAGGGAGCTCTGTTCCTATTTGTACATTCTTTCCTCCCCCAACCTCCCTATTATACATAAATACCCTTCCTCTAGCCCAAGTTCTCAGTCCACTGATCGCATCTTGGATACTATGCTTTTTATTCCGACTCCAGCTTACCCAGTCCTACATTCCTGAAATCCCCCTGAAGAGCTGGTCTCGCTCCCAATACCTTCAGTTGCTTGCCATTGGACTTCAGATGCCCCCATTCCCCATACCTTTATGACAATTTCAACCTGCTGGAGTAAGCCTTCTCAAATATGGATGTCAGCTGATACTACGGAGAGCCTGCCTGACTTCTTAGCACTGAAATTTCTGGTTGCACAGTTCAGTCCATTTCTCCTCTCATTTGTCTGACTGTACACTACCGAGTAAATATCCCAGCTGAGCCCGGTATGAGGAGTGACACCCACCAGGTAAGTTTTAGAAAGGTTTTTAAAAAAAAAAAAAATACTAGGATGAATGATAAAGCTGATTCCCCACAGCAATTCATGCATTCTTTGTGTAGAATAGACTCATTACCTCAAAGTAATTATTAATTCAGATTTTTTAATTCACATGTGCACTCTAAAACTACCTGTCTAGAAGAAACACGGGCATAACCTTCTACACTCAAATTTCTGTGGTACGTGGCTTCCAAAGATACTTGCAAACACAAACATCTTGAGATTTTTTCCCCATTAGAAACTCAGCTCAAATATCCTAATGCCTTCATATGAATTCCGTCAAATGGATACAGCTGGCTTTTTCCTTTACTGTGCCTCAGGAGGAGGAAGATCAACTTAATCTAATGTGCCCAAAAAGAGAAAAAGAAATTGAGAGTGGAGGAAGGATCACACGTGTTCATAAGCTGACAACATAAAGAACTGCCCGATACCAGTCTTGAAATTACTTGGTGTTATTTGCCTACTAAATCAACATCTGCCTCAGATGACTAGGAATTAAATTTTTAAAAATCTCTCTCATGCTGCAAAATTGCTAATAATGACAATCAGTTCTCCAGAGCTAAGCATAATTGGAAATATTTTTTCTCGGCGACTCAAAAAGTAAAATATTAAAAGTATATTTAAAAGGTGCTACTTCTGAAATACAGAGTCAAGGAAAAGGAAAAGTGATTTAATCGATAATGTCAAAAATAAGAATAAAATTGGTTACTTAAGAACAAAATAGCAGCATGCCCTTTTCTATGAGTAAATTGCAGATAATGGGTAATCAGAGATAGGAGTATATTGACACAATATGTGATACAAATTCCCAGAGGCATAGATAATGCATTTACTAAAGAAGTCCCGACAAGCCTTGCTAATTGTTCAAGGACGATCCTGAGCATCTCACATATACATCTAATACTAGAGATAATAAGTAAAGTTACCTGCTATTACATCAATCTTTCTCACTAGGAACTAACATCTATAAAGTTAAAAGACATGTAATAACCATTATTGTCTCAGTATGTAGCAAATAACGAGTACAGTTGTCTCTTATAATGTGGGCTTCCACACAGAAATAAGAGCAGTTACAATGTCTGGGCAGTTAAACATCCAGACACTCTTAGCTGGATGACAGAACAAAGTTGTGACTGGGCGCTTGGTTTTAATCCAATTGCATCTGTACTACATCAAGTCGGACTCAGGTATTTGTAATTGTGGATCATACCCTTTTATTGTTCACACTTCTGATGTTCTGGACCCTCCCCTTTTGCATTTCTTTTGTTATTTTGCTGAGATATGATAAGAAAGAGAAAGAGAAAGGGATGGGATGTATCTTCCCATCCGGAGGAAGACAGAATCAGCTATTGTGATTCTATTGGCTCTTATCTCTATGTACCCACGGAGGATTGCTTCCAGGACCCTTGCAGATAGAAAAAAATCCATGGATGCTCAAGTGTCTTCCATAAAACGTAGTAGTATTTACAGATAACCTGCAAACATCCTCCTCTGTGCTTTAAATCAACAGACTCACTATAATACTAAAAACAATGTAAATGTTATGCTAGTCAATGTAATTGTTTTTAATTGTATTGTTTTCATTATTGTATATGCATTTATTTTTCTGTATTTTTGATCCTAAGTTGTTTGAATCCTCAGATGCAAAACCCATGGATATAGAGGGACAATATACATGGCAAACGTTGACTGAATGAAGTGTGTAGTTGATGTAGGTAGTTGAAATGCCTCATGTAACCCCAAAAGGTTTAAAATGCTCAGGATAGCTGATTCTATTTTCCTCCTGAACGGAAGATACATCCCATCCCTTTCCCTTTTGTGTCATATCTCAGCTAAATAACAAGAGATGCAAAAAGGAGGGCCCAGAACATCAGAAGTGTGAACAACAAAAGGGTATGATCCACAATTATAAATACCTGAGTTCCACTTGATCTAGTGCAGACGCAATCGGACTAAAACCTAGAGCCCAATCACAACTTTGTTCCGTCATCCAGCTAAGAGTGTCTGGATGTTTAACTGCCCAGACATTGTAATTGCTCTCATCCCTGTGTGGAAGCCCACATTATAACACCAACCTGGCTTGTCTTCTAGTCTCTTAGATTTCTAATCATTGCCACTTGTATTTTAATTTTGAAATTATATTATTAATATAAGGTATAAGCTGTGCCAAAATCCTCTCAACCTCCCACCTTCTCAGTCTAAAGCTAAACTTTGACAAGAAAATACTCCTTTATACAATCAGGGATAATATAACCTGTCACTTACTGAAAATCCATTAATATGAAAAAGAAATTGTAGGTATTGAGAGTAGTGTTAGCATAATAAGTTTTAAGATGATGCGCTAGTGGAAAAAAAAGTAAGAGGCAAAAACAAGGCAGAAAAATTCCCATTTACAGATAAAAAGGTTTTATAAGCTTAGAGGGAACAATGTTGAAAGATTCAGAAACTTTATTTTAAAAAATATTTACCATAGTGAATAATACTCAAATTCCAGTGTCTATATGGATATAACTAATTATTTTTATAAGTAGAATATACAAAAGGGGAATCAGAAAAACCTGCAGGTAGATCACCTGAGGTCAGGAGTTTGAGACCAGCCTGGCCAACATGGTGCAACCCTGTCTCTACTGAAAATACAAAAATTAGCTAGGCTTGGTACCCGTAATCCCAGCTACTCTGGAGGCTGAGGCAGGCGAATTGCTTGAACCTGGGAGACAGAGGTTGCAGTGAGCTGAGATGGCGCTATTGCGCTCCATCCTGAGTGACAAGAGCGAGACTTCATCTCAAAAAAGAAAAATCCATTCCCATGGAATCAAGGTAGAAAGGGATTACAGATAACAATTGAGACTTTATAAGTAATAAACAGTACCTATAAAGTACTTTTTAAGGCAGAGGTGATATGCTCCAAGTCATGATGGAATTACAGGGACTAAATTTATACATACTTTGAAATAACAGGGGAAAAGCAGGCAAAATACAGGAAGGAGCAGTTTTCAGACATTGGAAAACAAGTAAATAATGGCAGGGATCCCTAAGAATCAGAAATCAAAGTAAAGGAGCCCTAAGATTGCTCTAGCTTCCTACCTGGAGAAAGTATGCTACATACAACAGATCAGCCCAAGCAGGACCTGGGTATTTCCCTGAGTTGAAGAGGCAGAGGTCAGGGTTTAAGAAGGCTAAGAATTCACACTTAATGGCAAGAGAGATACCATGGTCATGAAGGTGGTTTTCCTAGGGCGAGGCTCATCGATGCAAGCTGGATGCGCTGACCCCTGCAATTTCCCCAAATGTGAGAAACTCAACTGGCATAATTTGTGGTAGTGGGGGACTGTGTTTGGACTTTCCCCTGGTCTTCATGATTGAAGAACATGTCCAGGCTGGGCGAGGTGGCTCACTCCTGTAATCCCAGCACTGTGGGAGACAGGCAGGGGGATCGCCTGAGGTCAGGAGTTCAAGACCAGCCTGGCCAACATGGTGAAACCCCATCTTTACTAAAAATAAAAAACTAGCCAGGCATGGTAGTGCATGCCTGTGGTTTCAGCTACTTGGGAAGCTGAGGTAGGAGAATAGCTTGAACCTGGGAGGCAGAGGCTGCAGTGAGCCGAGATCACTCCACTGCACTCCAGCCTGAGCAACAGAGCAAGACTCCATCTCAAAAAAAAAAAAAAAGTCGGCTGAAATTCTCAATTCATGAGGCAGATTACTGAAGAGAAGTGAATGAACATCAGAGATTATCTGAGGGTTTCCTCAAGACTTTAACCAAGTACTGCTCAGCATAGGCTTGAAAAGTAAGTCCTGAAGCTAAGGCAAGTAGCATTAGAAAGGAGCAGGGAGAATGATTTCCAAAAGACGGGACTAGTTCATGCTCTCAACAGCTGCAATGGAAACATCTCCTAAACCATAGCATTAAGTAAAGTAAGAGTCAGTAAAACATGACCCACAAGCCAAATCTGGCATGCTGCCTGATTTTTGGTGAGTACAACTTTGTTGGAACACAGCCATACTCACTTGTTTACATATGATCTATGACTGATTTCGTGCCGCAATAGCAAAATTAAGCCATTTCAACAAAGACCATTTGGCCCACAAAGTATAAAATATTTATTATCTGATCTTCTAGAGAAAAAGTTTACCAATGTTTGGATTAGAGCCCTCAAACGTATTTTGCCTCAGGAGTTGAGACAAATTAGTCCTAAATTAAAAGCTGTTCTGGACCCACAAAACAAAACTTCAAAACAAACTTTTAAGTAGCTTAGTGTGTACTGGAACATAGCCCAAAACTAAATTTATTATCTAAAATTTATAACATAAAGAAACAAAACAAAATTTATCATCTAAAACTCATAACTAGAATATAATTAAACATTACTAGTCACGAAAAGAACCAGAAAAATACGAAGCATACCAAGTCAGTAACAAGGAAATCAAAGAAATAACTAAAATAATAGAATTAGTGGACAAGGGTGTTAAAACTGTAATTATAAATACAACTCAATTTGTTCAAGAAGGTGGAGGAAAGTGTAAGTATAATAAAAAGAAAAGTAGAAGATTAAAAAATTGAACTGAAATGAAACTGCAAAAATGAAAAAAATGGGATCCTCTCAGGCATATAGAAATGCACTGACTGACAGATTAGACACTGAAAAGAAAAACAATAAACTTAGAGACATGGCAGGACAGGGTATCCAAAATAAAACAGAGGGAGAAAAGTATTTAAAAAATAAACAGAACACCAACATTTTTGCAATCTACCCATCTGACAAAGGTCTAATACCCAGAATCTATGGAGAACTTAAACAAATTTACAAGAAAAAAACAACCTCATCAAAAAGTGCACGAAGGATATAAACATACACTTTTCAAAAGAAGACATTACACAGCCAACAAACATATGAAAAAATGCTCATCATCACCAGTCATTAGAGAAATGCAAATCCAAACCACATTGAGATACCATCTCATGCCAGTTAGAATGGTGATCATTAAAATATCAGGAGACAACAGATGCTGGAGAGGATGTGGAAAAATAGGAGTGTAAATTAATTCAACCATTGTGGAAGACAGTGTGGTGATTCCTCAAGGATCTAGAAACAAATACCATTTGACCCAGCAATCCCATTACTGGGTATATATCCAAAAGATTATAGATCATTCTATTATAAAGACATATGCACACATGTTTATTGCGGCACTGTTCACAATAGCAAAGACTTGGAACGAACCATGAAATTTGACCCACCTCACCAGAATTCATGGTCATTCTAATTTATAAAAGGAAAAATCTACCAAGTAACTTAATTATTTTCTGTAAACATCTACTTCTCAGTTATAAAACAGTACATCCCTCTTTGGCTCCTCCAGGACTTTTTTCTGTATGTGATACCTGTATATACACCCATCTATCTGAAAGAAACCTTCATGACCCAGGTACTGCGCTGAAATATGGCCCAGGTGCATGTGTCCACATGAATCAATAAGACAGATGCTGTTTCTGCCCCTACAGAGCACTCAGTCTAACTGGAAAGATACACAATTAAACAACTAATTACAATGAAATGGAATAACAGTCAGAGCAGGAGGAGTTCATGGTGCTATGGGGACATATAACTGGTGGATTTTATTGTTTTATAGAAGAAAAAATCTCCCTGAACTAATAAAGTTAATACATATTCTTGAAGTCAGTCAGATAAGAAGAGAGAGGCAGCAGTTTTCTCATGGGGAAAGTATCAAGAGTGAGAGAGCACTCATATTACAATAAATGAGGGGAGGTAGAGAAAGAAAAATGGGAAAACATGGGATCTTCTCAGGCATATTGAAAAGTTTTAATTTTCCCTGAAGACAAGGGGAACTGTTCAAGCATTTTAAGAAGAATGGAATTTTCTTTCTTATTTTTGTCTATTTATTGTTTTGACACAGAGTCTCACTCTGTCACCCAGCAGGCTGGAGTACAGTGGTGCAATCTCAGCTCACTGCAATCTCTGCCTCTGGGGTTCAAGCAATTTTGCTGCCTCAGCCTCCTGAGTAGCTGGGATTACAGGCACACATCACCATGCCTGGCTACGTTTTGTATTTTTAGTAGAGACAGGGTTTTGCCATATTGGCAGGGCTGGTCTCATACTCCTGGCCTCAGGCAATTCTGAAATGTACAACTGTAATCACTCTAACTGATGCTTCTTCCACTTTCCAAATGTGAAAATCATTACGGAATCCATCTCCCAACTTGTCACATTCTCCTAATCAAAATCTTTCAGGAGCTCCCCATCAACACCAAATACAATCCATTTCTTCACTTGATATTCCAGGCCTTTCACTGGCCTCAAATATCTTTTTAGACCTATCTCCCTCTACTTCTTGTCATATATTTTATAGTCCAACCAATTATTTCCAAAACTCAACCTGTGTCTTTCTATTTTTGTCTTTTTTTCACTGACTCTAGGAGATTCTTTTCTTTTTTACTTGCTTATATTATTCAGGATCTTATTTAAACGTCTTTTCTCTAAAATCTTCCTTAATTCCCTGAGGCGGTATTATTCTCTTTCCACTGAACTTTTTAAAATATTCCTTCAGTTTTTTATCTTTCCTACTAAATATTGGCATTGTGTAAGTCTATGTCATATACTTATTTAATCTCAAACACCTGATGGCAAAGGATAAACTTTATTAATGCTCATATCCTCTATAGATCTAAGCCATGTTCTTGCACTGTGATAGAAGAACACTTAATCAGTACATAAATGGATGAATGGTAGCTTTACCATTAGAAGATGAGAAGATTCTCTTGCTTCAAAGCTATAAATGGTATTGTAATTTATAGTATCACTTTCTCATAAACTTGTAACCAAGTTTCTGCATTATAGCATGTCACGAAATGACGGAATTTATGTCTATTTATAGGTTATTTATGAGTTGATAATAAAGAGTAAGCCTCAGAGTTTGAATTATTGTGAGAATCCTGCAAGAAATTTCAAGCAGTTTTTAAAGTACTAAGTGCTATGTAAATAGAAAAGTCTAGTATAAATTTGAAAAATTTCAGCATAATTTTTGCATTTAATATTGGTGATCTAGTAATGGTCCCTAAAAATAGATTTGTTTCAGTTAAAATCATGTGTACATATTTCTGTTATTAACACCAAATCGATATTTCTCATAGATTTTAGTCTAACCGTAAAATTTCCACCAGTGTTACATTACAGTTGAAGCTTTCTTGCATATTCCAGCTTGTGCCATAAGGCATAGTTCTTACTCTTAAGAATTTCATAAATACACTAATGAATGTAATATATGAAGTCTCAAAATAAAGGCCTATATGGAATACCATCTGAATACAAAGGTAGATCTCCTCTAAAAGACACTGGAAAAAACTTTCAAATATAATGAAACATTTGCTATGTCTTAAAAAATAAACATATTTTTAAACAAATGGGCTGGGGAAAAAAAGAGATAGAAAGAAATTTCAGATCAAAGAAATAACACGTGACATAAAATCCCAATATATTTCAGTAAAGAAAAATCCTTCCTTGCTATCTCTTTCTATAACAGGGGTGGGAAATGACAAGGTGGTGATTCTGACATGGACATAGTCCTCATTCATCTTTTATTTAACATCCAGCTCTTAAATCTTTCCACCATTCTTAAAAGGGAGAATGACTCAGAATGATAGAATTGATGTTGACATATCTGCTTTGCTTTAATAACAAGCTAATTACCACAACCAGTTATTAATTAACTATATAAATTTTACATGTACAACAGGATATCAAATGGGGTGTTTTCCCATCATGTTAATTTTGGCTGGTAACCCGATATCAAATGGTGATGAGTATCGAATATTCCAAAGAGATACCAGACCACCTAGCGGGTGGCCTAGCGAACAGGATTAGCAAACACTGGGCTACCTCCAGGGCATAAACCACCAAGGAAATCTGCTTATTGGTGAGGAGACGCTGGTGTGTTAGCATGTCTTTATCAAGAGCATTGCACGGTACCATATCTTCCCTTTTCTACCTTCCAACCTAGTAAGCTAGGTTTCAGAAATCTTGATGGGTATATCCTCTGAAGTTGTGGGGACATTGGGACTGATACCTGACTTATGCCCCTCTGCCCCCACCCCCAAAAAATCTAAAGGCCAGAAGCTGCTTAGAGCACCCTGGCCTGGCAGAAGAGATATGCTTAGAATGAAGGTCATAATATAAATATATTATGAATCCTGTATCAAAAGTAGAAAAGAATTCCCCATACTCTATTATGTAAAACAAGGTCTTCAAGTCTGGCTCCACTTACTGGAAAGAGATGAAGAATACATTGCACTTTGAGAATTTTTAGAAATTCCAGGACAAAAAGAGAGGTAGC